TGTATTTTTTTAGTTAGAGATCGGGGTTTCACTGTGTTAGGCCAGCGTGATTGGGTCTCGATGCACCCTGATAGAAAGTGGTTTCTTGAGATGGAATCTACCCTGGTGAAGAGGCTGTGAATATTGTTGAAATGACAACAAATAATTTAGAATATGCCATAAACTTAGCTGATAAACCAGTGACAGAGTTTGAGAGGATCGACTTCAATTTTGAAGGAAGTTCTGCTGTGGGGAAAATGCTATCAAATGGCACTGCATGCTACAGAGAGCTCTTTGGTGAAAGGAAGAGCCAATTAACATGACAGACTTCATCGTGTTATTTTAGGAAATTGCTACAGTTGCCTCAGTCGTCAGCAACCATCACCCTGGTCAGGCAGTAGCCATCAACATCGAGTCAAAACCTTTCACCAGCAAAAAGATTGTGACTCACTGAAGGCTCAGACGACTGTTGGCACTTTTTAGTAATAAAGCATTTTTAAATTAAGTAATGTACTTTTTTTTTTTTTTTTTTTTGAGGTGAGTCTCTTTCTGTCACCCAGGCTAGAGTGCAGTGGTGCGATCTTGGCTCACTGCAACCTCCACCTCCCGGGTTCAAGCGATTCTCCTGCCTCAGCCTCCCGAGTAGCTGGGACTACAGGTGCGTGCCGCCATGCCTGGCTAATTTTTTTGTATTTTTAGTAGTGTCAGGGTTTCACCATGTTAGCCAGGATGGTCTCGATCTCCTGACCTTGTGATCTGCCTGCCTCGGCCTCCCAAAGTGCTGGGATTACAGGCGTGAGCCACCACACCTGGCCCTAAGTGATGTACTTTTAAAAGACATAATGCTAATGCACACTTAGTAGAATGCAATACAGTATAAACGTAACTTTTATTAATATATGCACTGAGAAACCAAAAAATTTGTGTGACTTGCTGTATTGTGATATTTGCTTTATTGTGGTGGTCTGGAATGAAACCATATGTCTGCCTATAAACTTTTCTATCATCTCACATAGTTATTTGTGTGTGTGTGTGACAAGAACAACTAAAATCTACTTATCTAACAAAAATTCCGGTAACAATATGATTTGATTAACTCTAGTCCTCACATTGTACATTAAGTCCTAGACTTGTTCATCTCACGTATCCACTACTTGGTATTCTTCGATCTATTAACTTTTCTGAGTTGTGTTACTGTTGACTAACCAATTTTCTCTCACACATGCAGATTCTATTTTTTTTCGTTTCAGAAAATTTTATTTTAAAATTTTGTTCTAATATTTAAATAAGCATCAAAATGTCGGTTAAAATATTTGTCTAGGGTTTTGGTTTTCTTCTTCAGAGACTCTGATTATGTATACGTTGGCTCCCTTTTACTGTATTTTCCAGCTATCATTTTTGTTTCTTGCTGTTTCTTATATGTATCGTTTTCATCTTTTCCCTATGTATCTCTGTTTCAGTTTATCCACTTCTTTCATGTCCTATAATTCAGTCATCAGTTAAAAATTGTTGTTTGATTATTTTTCTTTTTTTACTTTATTATTTCAATAGTTTTTGGGGTGCACATGGTTTTTGGTAACATAGATGAACTGTATAGTGGTAAAGTCTGAGATTTTAGTGCACCTGTCACCCAAGTAGCGTATAACCAAGTATGTGATTTTTTTATTCCTCCCTCCCCACCCTCTCTCCCTCTTCTGAGTCTCCAAAATCCATTACATCACTCTGTATGCCTTCGCATACCCGTATCTTAGCTCCCAATTATGAGTGAGAACATACAGTTTTTTGTGTTCTTTTCCTGAGTTACTTCACTTAGAATAATGGCCTACAGCTCCATCCAATTTGCTGCAAAATATACTATTTTGTTCTTTTTTATGACTGAATAGTATTCCATGGTGAATGTATAACACATTTTCTTTATCCACTCATTGGTCAATGGACACTTAGGTTGGTTCCATAGCTTCGCAATGGTGAATTGTGCTGCAAATAGTCATGCAGGTATGTTTTACATATATTTTTCTTAAAAATATATTTTTTCTTATTTTTCTTGGGGTAGATACCCAGTAGTGGGATTGCTGGGAAAAAAATGGTAGTTCTGTTTTTAGTTCTTTAAGAAATCTCCATAATGTTTTCTTTGAGGTTGTACTAATTTATATTTCTACTAGCAGTATATGATCATTTCACCACATCTGCTCCAATATCTGTTGTTTTTTGAGTTTTTAATAAAGGCCATTCTTGCAGAAGTAAGGTGGTATCTCATTGTGGTTTTAATTTACATTTCCCTGATGTGCATTTTTTCATGAGTTTTTGGCTATTTGTGTATCTTCTTTTGAAAAATGTCTGTTCATGCCTTTTGCCCACTTTTTAAGGAGATTATTTGCTTTTTTCTTTCTGATTTGTTTGAGTGCCTTGTAGGTTCTGGATATTAGTCATTTGTCAGATGCATAGGTTGGAAATATTTTCTCCCATTCTGTGGGTTGCCTGTTTTCTCTGATGATTATTTCTTTTGCTACACAGAAGCTTTTCAGTTTAATTAGGTCCCATTTACTTATTTTTGTTTTAGTTGCATTTGACTTTGGGGTCTTCATCATGAATTCTTTGCCCAGGCCAATGTCCAGAAAAGTTAAAAGTTTTTCGTTGGTTATCTTCTAGAATTTTTATGGTTTCAGGTCTTGGATTTAAGTCTTTGTTCCATCTTTAGTTGATTTTTGTAATAAGGTAAGAGATAGGGAACTTGTTTCATTCTTCTATATGTGGCTTGCCAATTATCCCAGCACCGTTTATTAAATAGAATGTCATTTTCTCAATTTATATTTTTGTATGCTTTGTCAAAGATCAGTTGGTTGTAGGTGTTGGGTTTTATTTACAAGTTCTCTATTCTGTTCCATTGGTCTATGTGTCTACTTTTATACCAGCATCATGCTGTTTTGGTAACGATAGCTTTGTAGCATAATTTGAAGTCTGATAATGTGATGCCTCTAGATTTGTTCTTTTTGCTTAGGATTGCTTTGGCTACTTGTGCTCTTTGTTAGTTCTATATAAATTTTAGAATTGTTTTTCCTAATTCCGTGAGAAATGATGTTGGTTTTTGATAGACATTGCACTGATTTTGTAGATTGCTTTGGGCAATATGGTCATTTTCATGATGTTGATTTTCATTATTTTTCTTTTTCTACCAGTTTCTTTCTGGTATAATTCCTATTGTCTCACTATCTCTTTGTATATTTGTCTCTGAATTTGTACATTTCTGCTTGTCTCTTACTTCATTCCTTATTTTGTATCAATAATTTTTAAAAACTCGTGTAGGAATATTGGGTTACCATTCTCATCCAGTTTGTGTTATCACTTTTTATGTTGAGTTTTTATTATTTGTAAGAAAAAAATGCTGCTTTATCATCTTTTTTTCTTATAATGTCTTAGAAAAGATGCTCTGTACTTTCTAGTTTTTAAATTCATATTTGAAAGAGGTGGATTTTCCTAGATTGGAAGGAGGAGTTTCCTGTGAGGTAGGAAGTGCCATGGCGGCTTACTGAAGCCACACCTCCTGGACTCCTGCTTCTCTTCCATAATGTTGGTCTCCACGGTTTCCATGAGGGGAGCTTTGAAGATTCAAAACTAAGCTGCCACCGCATTGCCAGGAGAACAAGAGTCCTGTTTATTAAATCTGAAGGTCCCTCTGCATTCCCTTGGGTCTTCCACTTCTTCTTGCATAAAGCATGACAGACAGGTATGGCTGAGCCTTGCCATGGCCTCTGCCCCATCCCTAGCCCATCTTGCTCTCTTTCTAGTTAAAGATTTCTATTTTCTTCAATCAAATTGGAACTTCTCAGGGTTCTCCAAGGGGTTTTTGCTCCAACACCATGACAAGTGGTGGGGGAATGTGCCTTTGGTCATGGATGTCAGCTCTTGCTGGGTGCTCCTGAGTCTCTGGTCACCGGCGCTGCTCTCCTGGACCTTGCCCGGGGTCCATCTCTAGCAAGGCTGGCTGCTGTCATTGAGCATATGTTCTTGTCCCTGACGGCCTCACAGGTGTCTTTTTTTCCCCCCAGAGGATCCCCTTTGCTTTCTGGACCCTGACTACTCTCCGGTTATTCCCCTGTTCATGCACACCTACGACAAGACTCTGATTTGCGAAAGCCAGGAAGGGCAGTTAACTGGCCCGCCATAGACATCCTCTTGGGCAAGCCAGCATGACGCCTGGCTGTGTGCTGGAGCTGGAAACATAAAAGGGGAGAAAAAAACTATAAACTAACAGCAAAAATGGTTTTGTCACGTTCTTCTATTTATGTTCAGATTGTGTGTTTCAGTTTACGGATAGCTAATATATGTTATTAAATAATGTAAAAACATAACTGCATTATTTATTTAAAGTCTGTCATGCTCATCAAGTGGTTTAATCTTCATTCTAAGGATGGGGAAATGGTTTTGGAAAAGTCAGTTAGTTGCCTCCTGCATCCTCCAATACTGGAGAAAAGATCAGACGCTGCCTGTAGAAATCCAGAGTTGATAAAAGCTGCCCAGAGACAACACTGACATCAAAGGCAGCCAACAGGAAGTCACCACCTTTCGTGAGAAATCAGAGCTACCCAGGCAAAAGAGAGAAGGAACATTCTAGACAAAGGTGCAGCTCCAGATGTGAGAATTCAAAGAGCAAAAGGACAACCAACCAAAAAACAAACAAAGAAACAAACGAAAAACAAATGAAAACCAGTGCACAGTGTTGTCTTTAATAGTAAAAAGCTGGAAACTAAATGTTAGAGAAGTCATTGACTACATTCATTATTGTTCAATCATAGGATGGAATTCTATGCAGTATTTAACACAATGCTCTAAGAAAAATGTGAGTCACATTGAAAAAGATCATACACATTACATTGTCACATCATAAAGCATTTATGATTATATGCAGTATGATTCCCAGTAAGTGGATGCCTTATATGTGGAAAGAGAGAAAGAAAGAAAGAGGAGGCGGCAGAGGAGGCAAGGGTTGCAAAATCATGTGAAAAGTCACTTTACAAGGTGACTTTATCCTTTTTAATTTTTGATTGTATGTGCTTTTCTAAATGACTAAAAAGTAAATGTAAACTTATGCTCCTTCAACGTCTCATTCACTAGGATTTAAGGCAGGGATTTCCCTTGGAACCACAGCAGAGCCTCAGGTGTGGACCTTGCTGACGTCCTCCTACATGAGCAGAGTCTGCGGCTTGGAAAGCGTGGCCCCTCCTGCAGGTCCCAGGGCTGGCGACATCCTCCAGGAGTTGACGGCAGGCAGTACACACAGGTGCCGGGCTGAGCACCAGGGAGTGGTGCTCCAAATGCCCGCACAACCTCTCCTGGGACTCTGGCCACAAAGAGAAAAACGTGGAATTTGGAACAAAAACCCAGTTTCCAAACCCAGCTCTGCTGTTGCTTTATTCTCTTGGGAAGTCAGCAGGCTTCCCTGAGCCCCATCTATAAAGTGGGCCTAATAATATCTGCCACTTCCTGTCTTAGATGTTACGCTTGATCCAACAAGCAAATGTACATGAAAGTGCTTTGTCAATCCCTATAGCAGACCCAATGTGATTGTTATCTCAATGTCGCTAAGTCTACAGTTCTCCTTTGGTCTTTCCACTAAATTGGCAGCTTTATGGGGTGACTAAGTCTCTGTCATGAGAGCTTTGTTGAGGGAGGTCTTGTGTGTTCTGCACCCAAATGCAGACCTTCACATTTGTCCCTGTAAATTAATAGCTTGTTGGTCACAGCCTACTTTAAGTGTCTCTCCAAGCTTTGTTCAGTTTGAAAATGTCATTAATTTTGCCACCAAATTTTTGCCTGGGTTATTCATAAAATGTTGGCCCCTTCTGGGTCCAGGACAGAGTTCTCCTTGAACCTCAGGTTAGCCATGGCTAACCTGAGATGATTATTCTGCTTGGGCCACAACCATGTAACCAATTTCAAGTCAGTGCAGTTGCTTCTGGAGTCTTCCTCGCTGCCCTGCCTGCCTGTCTTGGTTCCTTTTTCTGCTTTACTCCTGTGGTTGTGACACTCACCAAGTGTGTGACGTGGAGGCTGATTGAGGTTTCTATTTTGCATCATCTTCAACTGCAAAATGGGGACTGATCCTGGCATCTGTTTTACATCAGCCAGTGGATTAGTATGTTCATGACAGGTAAAGCCCCTATGCCAGGCTTCCTCAGCCTCTGCCCCATTGACACTTTGGGCCCGGTGATTCTCTGTGGCAGGGGCTGTCCTGCACCTTGCAGGAAGTTTAGTAGCATCCCTGGTCTCCATTCATTCACTGATGCCAGCAGCACCCTCCACACCCCTCCCCAGCTGAGAAAATCCAAACTGTCCCCAGACGTGGCCAAGCTTGTCCAGGGGGATGAGACCTCCCTGGATGAGAAGCACTGACCTGGACAGCAAAGCACAGGTTTGTGCTGTGTGCGTGTTCGCTGTCGCCTGCGTGTCCCAGCTCTGTCCTGACGGCATGGAACACGGAGGTGTATCCTCCTCCCGGAGTTCTCAGGATGATTAGGACGCCCCACGTTCCCAGGCTTTCTGCGAGGCTGTCATGACTGCACAAACATCCTGCTAAGTTGCAGGTTTCAGCCCCCGCAGCACCCCGATCCATTGCCCCTCGGACCCTGCTCAGGGGCAATCCCACCCCTAATGAGGGCAGAGGAGGTGGAGGAGGCACTGGATATAAAGCTGCTGTGTAACACACAAAGCACTGTTCAGAAATCAGTGTTACTATCTCACCCTGGATGGCACAGAGTGGATTTAGGAGCAAAGATAAATTGCTTGGCTCTTGCGACTCTGACCTCTGGATCATATTTGCTTCCCTGTGAACAATGCAGATTGTCCTGCAAGCTGTTTACAGCTGAGAATAAGCAGAGGGCAAAGCAGTTAGCCTCCTTCAACCACGGCTGCTGCATCCTTAACCAATGTTAGCACCTTCCTCACAGGGCGCTGAGAAAGAAATTAGGCACTGGTTAAATTGTAAAGCACTGAACAAAGCATAGGCTGGTATACGGATAACGATGCACAACTCTGTAGCTCTGGGGTTAGTTCTCAAAAAGCACCTTCAAACTTTCTGATTAATAATAGCACTGTCCCACTAAGAACTTAGCCTCCTTACCAGATGCACACTGGTAAGTGTATTCAAAGGATTCACTATTGCTTGTTGGCTATGCCATGCATTATAGATCATGCCCCAACTGGTTTTAATACGACCTTATTCGCCTCTCCAAATTCTTTATAAATAAAGGATGATGCAGTTAAAAGAAGGAGTAACAATGAACCGTGCATCAGATGTGGGGTGAACAAGCAGGCCCAGGCCCCACTATGGGGTGATTCAACTCAAGAGAGTGGGAGGAGGATGGAAGGGAACAGGGAATGTGGCTTCTGCACCATCCCCTCCACAGCTCAGTGTCTGCCCCCATGCCATTCTAGTTTTGCAATTTCACCTTCATGAGTCTGTCTCTTTGTGTGATTTTGAAGCTGTTCTGTGGATACTATCATTGCAGTATCTTCTTTCATTTCCTTCTCCGGAAATTAATAAGATTTGCTTCTTAAAAATAAACCTGAAAGAGTGAGACGAGATTGCGCCACTGCACTCCAGCCTGAGCGTCAGAGCGAGACTTCATCTCAAAAAGAAAAAATAAAAATTTAAAAAAAAAACCTGAAAGAAAGCAATTTTACGTATGTGTTAAGTTATGCTCTAGATTTAGAGCTTGTTCCACACATTCCTGTTCTGAAAGGGTCCCAGGCACTGAAAACTCTCGGTTGTAGGGTTGAGGATGTGGAGAAGGGACCTGCTGAGCTCTGAGGATGGTCTGTGGTTGGAAACCGGGGTCAGTGCTCACAGAAGCAGCCCCACATACCCCGTCCGGGTGGGTGCTTTGCCATCTTCTCCTGGGGAGAATGGGCTCCTTCCCCTCCCCTGGTGTTGGGGCTGGCCCTGAAGCTTGCTCAGGGGTGGGAGGGACGACGCTGGGTAACTTCCTCTTCAAATGCCTGGAGCTCCTGCTTTCCTGTCCTGGGAAGTGTCCTCTTGGAGGCCAGCACCTTTGTGAAGTCTGACTGCTGGGACCGCCATGCTGGGAGGCAGCCCAAGTGCAATGCAGAGACATGGGGGAGGGCGGGGATGTGTGTCCAGTTGCCCTGCGGTTCCAACCATCTCAGCTTAGGCATGTGAGGGAAGGTATTCGCATCCTGGGGTAGCTGCAACAAATCACCATAAACTAGGTGGCTGAGAACAACAGGAATATCTCCTCTTGCTGTTCTGCAGTCCCGAGGTCTGGAATCAAGGTGCCAGCAGGTCCCACTCCCTCCAGAGGCCCTGGAGAGAATCTGTCTTTGTCTCCTGGTGGCTGCTGAGATTCCTTGGTTTGTGGCTGCATCCCCCAGTTTCTGCCTCCATCTTCAAGAACCTTGTCTGTCCTCTGTGGTGCTTCTGATCTCCCTCTGTCTCCTGTCTTATGGGGACACATGTGACTATACCTAGGACTCTACTGGATAGCCCAGGATCAGCAGCTCCTCTCAAGGTCCTTCCCTTCATTGCATTTTTCTGTACAACATAACAGACCCCAGCCCCAGGGCACCTCCTCCTCTGATTTCTGAGCTCCCACTGTCTGCACCAGTGGCTTGAAATGTTCTATGTATTTCCTGAAATGTATTTGGTATTATTTAATCTTCAGGTATTGCTTTTGTGGGCACCACTGGGTCGCTTGCTCCCTGAGATCAAGGGCTACATCTCACAGGGCTAGTTCCTCGAAGACACGGGACCCAGACTGACTCCGGCATCCGTCAAAGGTTCCTCCACCTCTGACACCAGTGAGGCAGAGACTTCCTTCCTTTCTCCTCCCACATGGCCTCTTTTCACCCCACCTCTGACACCGGTGAAGCAGAGACTTCCTTCCTTTCTCCTCTCACACAGCCTCTTTTCACCCAAAAGAGGTTTCTACTTCTCAGGTTTAGAGACAAGCTTAGGTTCCTCTCTCTGACACTGTCTATGGAATCATAAATGCCACCTGCCTCTCCTCTCAGCCTTCATCTTTCTGGATGAAAGAGTTTTGCCAGTTTTCCTCCCTCCCCACATGCATGCCCCTGGCTTAGGGTAACCCTTCCCTGTGATGCTGCGGACATCATTCCCGCAGGGGTTAACCTCAACTTCATCTCAAATTTCTCTCCTGATTCAGTTAACTACTTGAGTCAGCCTTATACATTTAACAGTTAAATATAAGACTCTCATACAAATCTGGAATTAACACATGTCAGAGATTTGCTTAGCCCAGCCTGGGAAGGGTCAAAATTGTACACATGGTTCAAAGAGTGGCTGACAGAGTTTTGTTTTGTTTCATCATCCTACACAGCCCCTGTAAAGGAAGTCTACTAAGTCAGAGGCCAAAGTGACCAACATCCTACCAAGAACTAAAACCATGGCCTTGGGGGCCAGTAGTTTCAGTGATTTCATTCTCCACCAGACTGAAATCATTTGCATCTCTACTGACAAAATATCTACAAATTAACATGTAACTTCACAAAGTCTGGGCCCTAATCAATAGTAAATAGCAAGTCAAATGAAGGTCCAGTCCCCCCCAAAAGTAATGAAGCCAGCCTGGAGTGGACCTGAATGGTGGGTGGGTTTTGGCTCTGTGGTGACTGCCAAGCACTGGGTGATTTTTTTTTCTTTTTTTTTTTTTTTTCTGAGATGGGGTCTCGCTCTGTCACCCAGGCTGGAGTGCAGTGGTGTGATCTCTGCTCACTGCAACCTCTGCCTCCCGGGTTCAAGTGATTCTCCTGCCTCAGCCTCCTGAGTAGCTGGGATTACAGGCATGCGCCACCATGCAGGGCTAAGTTTTGTGTCTTTAGTACGGACGGGGTATCACCATGTTGGCCAGGCTGGTCTGGAACTTCAGACCTCAGTGATCTACCTGCCTCAGCCTCCCAAAGTGCTGGGATTACAGACATGAGCCACCATGCTCGGCCTGCGATTTTATTATACGTAGGATACATGAGGTGAGCTAGATGGGTGCTGGATGAATTGACGGAGGACCCACCCTATGGACAGAGGGTCGGGATGGATCCTTTGTGAAATGTAGTTTTAAAGACCGGCAGGTTTCCGACCCCTGGCCCTGTGCCCTGGGCCTGGGCACCCACCCGTCCTCTGCACCCTGGGCCTCTCAGCAGCCCTGACTGCAGAGCTCTCTCCTGGGCCCGGCCCTTGTGGCAAGTGGGAGAAAGGGAAGGGCCCAGGGCCATGAGGCGAGGCCACAGGTCAGCCCCCACCCCCGCACACCTGTAATGTAAAATGCCCAGTTAGCCAAATGTAAAAAGTAACCAGAAGCAGGTGGAATGCATGTTAATAATGTCCTGTTTAATCCAGCGCCACCGGAACATTAGCATTTCCACATGTAATCAATTTAAAAAGTCTCAGTGACTGCTTCGCTTTCTTTTTTTTTTTTTTTCCTACTGTCTTCAAAACATGGTGTGCGTTTTAGTCGTGGCGCCGTCTCCTTCGGAGGCTGAATGACAAGCCATTGCAGCAACATGTCGTCCTAGTGGAACAATGAAGGCCCATTTAAAGGAGAAATAACTAACATAGCTTCCATCTTTCAATCTACATTCATCATAATAAAACATTAGGGGTTCAGCCGCCCTGGCCGCGTCCCAGGTGCGCACCGGTCCTGTGGCCGGAGCGTGGGAACCAGCGCGGGCCGCCGGGTGTGAGTGCCCCTCAGTGGCCACGCCTGGTAGTGCAGGGTCCCGCCCTGGGCTTTGAGATTTGAACACATTCCTGAAAGCAGATGTTTCTGTGAAGATTTGGGGTTGGGAGTGGGGGTGGGAGTGAAAGAATGCACAGAGAAGGAGAGTGGGAAGAAGAAGGGGTGTTGTGTACGCTCAGCTCCAGTTCACCAAATCGCTGCAGGGGGGTGATTGTCACAGACAAGGTGGCTTTAACAACCATTTATTTCTTCGCGGTTCTGGACCCTGGAAGTCCAAGATCAAGTCGCAGTTCAAGATCAACAGGGCTGGTTTCTCCTGAGGCCTCTCTTTCTGGTTTTCCCATGACTGCCTTTATATGTCAGAGAGAGAGAAAGAGAGACAGAGAGAAACAGAGAGAGCTTTTCATCTTCTTCTAAGGCCACAGTTTTACTGGGTTGGGATCCCACCCTTCTGACTTCATTTAGCCTTAATCACCTCCTTAGTGGCCCCATCTCCAGGTACAGTGACATTGGGGGTTAGAGCTTCAACTATAAATTTGGTGGGGACATAACTCTGTCCATAACAGCAGTAGTTACCACATTCTACAGCTAATCAACTGAGGCACAGAAAAGCGAAGACTTGCCCAAGATCACACAGAGCCAGGGTCAGTCCCAGGGGGGCTGGCTCCAGAGCCCGGGTTTCTCCCTTGTGTGTCCTCAGCCTTTTCCTGTTCTTTAGTCCCCCCACGCCCCTACCCCAAACCCACATTCTCAGAAGCCTCAGCCTCACATCTCTGTTTCACCAAATCAGACCCCTCCTTTCCCTTCAAGCTTGGATTTCTTCTCCATTAGGCTGGGGAGCAAAGTGTAAAACTTTATTATGGGCTTTGACTAGTCCTGGTTTTTACAAACCGGGTTCACTCTCACAGGCTTGAGTGTGTCACAGTCAGGTGACTGGAAGTTAGCTGGCAGTGTCGATTCTGGGCATGTTATGCGTGAGCTCGCTGACATTTCTGCAGAACGCCCCTCGCTGGGCTGTGTGTAGTGTGCGGGCCGTGTCTGAGGGGGATGTGCTGTCATAGACCCAGCACAGGGTCTGCCCAGCTCAGAAAGGCCTGCTGCAATTTGATTTTTAAATGTAAACGCATTTTCACTGCAAATGTTCACTCACTGGTTCGAATGTGTGAACTACATTTGTTGTCACTCTAAAGTTTAGGAAGAGGATGTGTAAAATCTGAAGGTGAAGCTGGCAGTGGGCCTTCAAAAAGTGGATAGAGGCGGATCCACTTTTGTTCAACTTGCCAGGCAGAGGCTCCTTCACGCTCTCATGCCTGGAATATGAGATGATACAGAAATAGTAAGTTGCTTACAAACTGGTGATACTTACTGGCCTTGCAATGAAACAAATTCTTTGATGATGCAATGTCAACCCTGGATTATCCCTAGAACAGTGAGGGCAGGACTTGTTGGAAATGAAAAATTTCAGGCCCCAGCCCAGAGCTACTGAGTTAGAACCTCGGCGCAGCCCAGCAGTTGGTGTTCAGGGCTCTGACGCATGTTCGAGGTTGAGAACCACTTCCCTAGAGATCAAGTCCCGTTCCCAGCAGTCTAATGCAACTCGGCGTTGTTACCTTAATGCGGCCTCTCCACATTGCAGCTGGGCAGTTAGAACGACACGGAATGTGCCTTCACAACTTGTGTGGCAACACGACTCCTGCTGCAGGCTGCAGTGCGGTGCTGTCAGGACAGTGAAAAGCCCGTGAAGAGTTTCTTGGGGAGCCCTTCACTGCCTCGGGGAGCAGCCCAGTCAGACCAGGCCTGGAGCCTGCATAGAATGTATTTATGTCAAGGCTGGTGGGGCGCTGTTTCTCTGAGACACAAC